TAAAATACTGATTTTATGCCGGACGACGGGAACAGAGCTTTTGCTTTAATCTGGCCCTTAGTTGTATCATTCCGAAATCACTTTTGAATCACGCGGTGTCCACATGCTGAGCAGCCAATCAGAGAACAGAAAAGCCACGAGGAGTAAACTTCTGGAAACTTCCCGCGCCACACGTCCTCTTCTACACTGAGACTTGAAGAGACGCACGCCCATTTTTCTCACGTCCTTTTTTCTGACCTTTATCGGTCCTATTGCTGCTAGCTTTGTTTTCTTTTGCATCGGGTGTGTTGGTGAGTTACCGTACGGCGGGTCTTGGCGGAAATACTCTTCTAATCGTTTGCGGTGAGTGTTTTTTGATTTGTTTCTTTTGACAGTCATGGCGGAGGCCCCTCCCCCCCAGAATACAAACATCCTTATCTTGGGTCATTCCTTTGTTGCCCGCCTGCACTCGCTCCTGCAACGGCGCTCGGTCACAGCCTCTGGCAGGGAGATAGATCAGAGTTTCTGGTGTGATAACTGTAGTTTCACCTTCCGTTTTGTTCCCGGGTGTATTGTACGATCTTTTGACTACAGTTCTTATTTGTGGGATGAACTACCCCGGGTTGACATTGTATACCTAGAGTTAGGTTGTAACGACTTGTGCAACACAGCTCTGTCACCGGAGGAAGTTGCATACCAGCTAATTGATCTGGCCTTAGCTTTGAAGAATAAAACAGAGGCCCGTCAGATCACAGTCGGCCTACCCTTGAAACGTGTTTTTGACCCGCCAGGTATCCCTTACAATGACCGGTGTGAGCGCTGTGTGTACAGCATGTTCGACTTGATTTCCAGAAGTCAAAACCCTGGCCTCACATTGTGGAGCCACAGCCGCATTTTGGACCGCTACCTCCCCTCCCTTTTCCAACAGGACGGCTTACACTTCTCAGACTATGGAAATTTCTTATATTTCAAGAGTATTCGAGGAGCCATCCTGAAGGCTTTGGATTCAATTTAAAGAATAATTTAACAGACTGCCCTCCCCAAATTTGTCTTGTTTTGGTTTTCGAACTGACTGCACCTCCCTTTGCACCTTCGGTGGGTTACCGTGGTGCCAGGGGGGGATGCCTGAAATTCTGTTATCTATATAATATGATAGATCCTTTTAGAAATTATCCCATGGATTGATTTTTCCGTGTAAAGGCGTGTACGTTGGTACCCAAATTTGTTTTTGACCTCCGGTTTCGAAATCGACTACATCTCCCCTTAGCTTGCACCTTCGGTGGGATACCGTGGTGCTGGGAGCAGATGCCCGACATACTAATTTTTGTCACAGACCCTCCTGGAAATTTTCCCCGAACTTATCTTTACATCGCAAAATTTTTTCGTAGGCACTTTGGCGGGCTGCCATGGTGCCATCCTGAAAAAAAAATAATAACTAATTCCCAGACAAAATTATGTAGCGGATCCAATCGTGGTGTCCATTACGCTTTCGGCGGGTTGCCGGGGTGCTTAAGGCAAATGCGTAAAAAACTTCCGTAAGTCATTTTATGAATTCCCAATTTTTCTACCGGGAATTGTTCTCTGGCATGAGCCTGAGACTCAGTCATAAATTTTATGCTGTGGACTATGTTTTCCCGGCATTTTATTATGTTACCCGTGCCTGGCTCTGGAGGGCAGCCTCCAAAACCAATGGCACTTGTCATAAATTTTTAGTGCTGTGGATTCCCGTTATGAGAATCCCGGCTTTTTCCTGATTTTATTCATAGTGCCTGGCTTTTGAGCCAACGACACTTGTCATAAATTTTTTTGCGCCGTGGTTTGTATATAAACTTAAACTACCCGGCTTGCTGTCCCCTGTTCTTCATGTCAGGGTTACTGTTACGGTTTTGTTGCCATGATGAGACAAATAGCCCAGATGCCCCTCGGCGCATACATTCCTTTGTTAGTTGCTTTTTGTTCCAGCCCTGTTTCATTTTCATATTTTAATTTACTCTCCAGCGCCCAACAAATAATTGTGCAAATCCCGATCACAATCCTGAAAGTGTATCTTGGCTTGTATTACACCAATGTTACATTGATCAGTGGGCCTCTCGGGGGTGTCCGTGTCGCAATTTTGCTCCCCTGGCGAGCTTTCTCGCTACGCTCCCTTGGTGGTCTTAGTTCAGAGTTTGGATTCTAAGGAAAAATTGCCGTTGTTGTAATTGACTCAGGATTTCCGCAATTACTTTCTCTCAAAGTTGTGTTGAGAGAATTACCAGGTTTATTGTATTCTTGAGATCTTCGAGCGTGTTGCAAGATGACTGTTTCTGTCATATGGAGGCGTGTTGCCTGTGTTTCACGTTTGTGTCAATAAAATTCCTAGTATTTCCGCCAAACCCGCCATTTGTTGGTTGATACTGTGTCCATTAGCTATGGTCCTAGGAGGTAGACATAAAAATCACTTTCGCACGCGAAATACTGATTTTATGCCGGACGACGGGAACAGAGCTTTGCTTAATTTGGCCTTAGTTGTATCATTCCGAAATC